AGAAATTTTTATTGGCTAATTAAAATTTGCAAATATCACATGTGATAAAATCGATTGGAGTCAAATTGGCCCATATGAATGAAGAAAATTGCAAGATAATACGTATATGAAACCTTAGATCTTGATTTAGACAACTATGTAAATATACGTTACATAATTGCAGATTCCTGAAAAAAACTGGAAACCGTCAAATTTCATCACCTGTTACTTCATAAGTTACTCAACACCACCATCATGGAGAAACGTTATTCGGCATCGGCAAAAAAAATACCCCCAACTCTGTCCTATTATATACTGACAGCTCTGTCTTATTATATACTGATATAGATGGTTATTCGATGATACTGTTTCAGAGGCTAAAAAATTAACGTGAACATTGTGAAAATCATCTCTATACTTGCATTATCAAATCTACAGCACTATTTTTTAATTCAGATAATAATAATGTCTGTCGCTTTATTAAAGGCATTATCCCAAAATTATAAAATTTTGTAGAAAGTTCAAAATTTGCCGATATTACAATTCAGGCTGGCGAAAAACCTAATACTGAGGAATATTTTTGCGCACATTCTTTAATTTTTCGAATTCGTTCACCTTATTTTTATGACGTACTGTCAAAGAATGGAGATAGAATAGAATTTGGAAAGGTGACATTATTTTGATAAACCTAATATTACACCTGAGTTATTCGAAATTCTTTTCAGGTAAAAAAATTACCATTCAGTGACTTCCAGTGATTTATTTTGAATTTATAAAAAAAGATTTTTTTTTCTTTTTTAGATATATTTATGATGGTTTTATTGATCTCACTGATGTTGATTTTTCGGACATCACTTTTTTTTTTTTATGGTGCGCTCATGAACTCCGTCTCAAAGAATTATGTAATTATATAATGTTGGTCAAAAAGACCTTGTAAAGAAGCATATTTCTCTCATATTTCTCTCATCAGTAGAAATAGAAAAGTATTATCAAATGAGACAAATCATCGCACAAGATGTGAATATTTTCAAGAGTAATGAATTTATTACACTTCAAAGAGATGTGTTCCTTCATTTTTACATTAACTGATATTGAATTATGGGAAAACTTCTTAAATGGTCAATCGTACATTCTGGTTCTTCTTTACCTTCAAATGTTCTCAATATAATACTGAGCATTTTGCAATTTTAAAACAATTGATCGAACCATTCATTCAATATATTAATTGTAAATTAATTAGCAAAAAAATTTTTAATCAAAAAAATTCGCCCATTCCGTAAAGCTTTTGATCCCGATTTTTACATTCAACTTTAGACCACATGCATTTGATGAATTCAAGAATCAAACACTACGACTAAACCTCCCTCTCCCTCAACTATTTCCACAATATCTGCGGCACTTACAACTGATGCTAAATTGCCAATATCTGTAGAAATTAATTTTGAATCCACTAGAGTCAGATCCACTGCTGTTACAGCTGTTACAACTTCTAAATCAACAAAAATACTACTGAATTTAAATCTACAAAATCTACTTCTACTTCTGCTACAATTACTTCTGCTTCTACTCCTACATCCTCACCTACTCTCACTCCTATTTCCACCTACTTTCACGCCTACTCCCACTCCTACTTACATACATACTTCCACATCTATTTCTGCGCCTACCTCTATACCTACTTCTATACGACAACTTACAATTCAATCAAATATAATTGAACAAAAACACATTGAATTGATAGTTAAATGGATTAATGAGGTATGCAAATTAGATCAAAATACTTTTTATACTGCAACGTGTTTCAAGCCATGGCTTTAATTCAACAAAATTTCATGCTCGCTGTGATGATAAGGGTCCAACATTAGTTATCATCCGTATTAAAGATACTGGCGAAATAATTTGTGGTTGCAGCCCAATCAAGTTTTATATTTTCTTTAAATCTTCAAAATCTAGATGATTAATAGTTAGTAAATTAATTGACACTGAGAGCATTCAATTAGACAAAATAGATACACGGTCCAGCTTTTTGAAAAAATGATTTAAAGATTTGTGGTGAAACAAAGAAAGACGAGAAAATTAAATGTAGAAAAGGGAGTTATGAAAAATCAATTTGACAAAGCTGTGATGTTTTTCCTGTTGATTATGAGGTTTTTCAAATTTTTAGAAAATCCATTATGTAGTAATTTGGCTTCTGTTTATATAATTTAACTTGGAAATTAAAAATCTTCAATTTACATTGATTATTCATTCACGTGTCTCAATTGTCTTAAGTGTCCTCAATCGTCTTAATTGTCCACAATCATCTTAATTGTCCTCATTCATCTTAATTGTCTCAATCGTTAAGGGTTTATTGAATAGTATACAAAAATTTATACAATTTTATGCTTCAATTTAAAGAAATTATGTCAATTTCTACATTTATCCGTAAAGCAGATACAAGATTTTTAATATTGCTGTTTATTTTTAAAAGTAATGTGGTTGTCTTTTTGTGATACTTTTTTAAAATACCTTTTTTATTTGAATTAAAGCATTGATCATTACAAAATGTAAATAAATAATTTATTTTGTTGGCAATTTTACTGACTGGTATGTTTTTATTTGGTGCAATAATTATAAACGACTATCTAGATTATAGTTAGTATGGATTAGTCCCATACTATAATCTTCTCTGCAACTCAATATATTAAAAAATATTTCTTAGCAAGACAGAATAAAAAACAACTCATAAGTTTACATGTAAATTAAACATAGTAACATCTAACATTAATAACATCTATCTTAATAACATGAGATTTCAGTATTAGTAGGTATACTTTGATTCCAACGAAATAAATTATAAGGATCATATTTTCGTTTAATTTCCACCAGTTTTCCAAAACCTTCACCATAGTATCTACATTGCCAATTATCCAACTTACTATCAATTAAATTTTGGTAACTTTGGAAATTTGTATACTTTCGAAAATATTGAGAAAAAATTTCTAAGTCCCATAAACACTTTTCAGTAACCTCTTCCACTTTAATTTCCATATGGT